TCAACCTATGAAGAGGTCACAGTTCGATTCCGGGTCAGGGCATATGCCTGAGTTTCGGGCTGAATCCCTAGTGTGGGGCATGCAGGAGGCAGCCAATCAATGACTCTCTCTCATCATTGATGTTTCTATCTGTCTATACTCTCCCTTCCTCTCTGAAATCAATGAAAATATTTATATCCTCAGATGAGTAAAATAAAATATAAAACATAATAAAATAATAAATAAAATAAAGCAGGATACGTTGGGCTTAGAGTGATAGCAGAAAAGCTAGTCTGGAAAGCCTTCTCTGAGGAGACCTTTGAGCAAAGTCCCGAGTGAACTAGCTCTGTGAATAGCTGAGATTAGAGCATCCAAGGAATAGCATATGCAAAGGACCTGAGGCTAGACTCCACTTGAGGTGCTTAAGGCAGCCAGGGTGATTGGGGTGGATGGAGTCAGTGAGAGGGAGAGTGTAGGAAATGAGGTCAGAGAGGTAGCCAGAGGCCAGATGATTTAGGGCCTTATAAACTAGATCAAGTATTTGGATTTGAACTTAAAGATGGAAAGCCATTGGAAGGTTTTGAGCAGAGTAATAACATGTCCTCATGTATATTTTAAAAATATCATTGTGGCTTGCCATGTGGAAAAAGACTAGGGGGAAGGCATGAAGCAGAGAGAACACATGGGAATTACAACCACAGACCAAGTGAGAGATAATAGTTACTTGAACTCAGTGGTGTGTCGGTAAATGTTTACAGGCTCTCTGAGGGGGAAAAAGGACCCTGATATGTAATGTTCGCTGATTTCTATGGTGTAAGTACTCCCACCGTGGTGATTTCAAGCTACCAATGTGTTGTCACTGAAAGTGGAGGTGGGAAAGCCGTGCATGATCAGTGCTCACGAGCCAGTGCAAGCCAGTCCAGCATACCACTGCCAGAGCTTGTGCCTTTAGCCCAGTGGTTCTCAACCTTCCTAATGCCGCGACCCTTTAATACAGTTCCTCCTGTTGTGGTGACCCCCAATTTCATTGTTACAAATTGAACATCATTAAAGCATAGTGATTATTCACAAAAACAATATGTAATTATATATGTGTTTTCCAATGGTCTTAGGCGACCCCTGTGAAAGGGTCGTTCGACCCCCAAAGGGGTCGCGACCCACAGGTTGAGAACCGCTGCTTTAGCCTGTGGTGGGTTTGCAGAGAGGGTCCAGTTTTGTCTCCATTTTCTAGGGTAGATGGAAATCGTACTATGTTTTTAGAAAGAGAGGGTATGGAGAAGGTTATGAGAGGGAGAGATTCAGTTTATAAAGTCCATCGTGCTGGAGCCTGGAGCCTTGCAAAATAAGCCTAGATGTTGGAGCTTTCAGGAGCTCTGAACTCCCAGATCCTTTGAAAGTGGAGCTCAGCCCAAAATCTCCCTGCAAACAGGAAGCTGGTTTGAGTTAGAACATAAAATAAAAAGCAGCTGATGCCCCTGAATGTTTTTCCCCTCCTCTTCCTCCTCCACTGAGCCAAAGGAAATTGTCCCCCATCCCCCTTGGATAGCTAGTTGCTCAGAAAGCCGAAAAAGCCAAAACCAACAAATCCTTTGAAAATAGCCAAGTTTTGAGCCTAGGCAAACTCCTGCCGTGGGGTTTCCTGGCCCAGATGTTTGTACACGGTAGGATGTGTTTCTTATTGTGGGTCATGGTCAAAAACCTTTGATAAATACTGGTCTTTAGGGCCTGCTGAAAAAGATGGTCTGCAGGAGGGTCTCTCACACTAGCTTCCAGCCATTTGTAGTCATGAATCAGTAAAGTGGCCACGACTAGAATTATACTATTTAATTTATTACTATTTTTTGTTGTTGTTAATTCCACCAAAGGATATTTTTCACTGATTTTTAGGGAGAGTGCAAGAGAGAGGGAAAGACAGAGAGAAATAGTGATGTGAGAGAAACACACCGATTGGTTGCCCCTTGCATGAGCCTTGACCAGGGCCCGGGCCAGGGAGGAGCCTGCAACCAAGGTACATGCCCTTGACTGGAATCGAAGCTGGGACCCTTTGGTCCACAGGCTGACGTGCTATCCTCTGAGCCAAACTGACTAGGGCCAGAATTATTTTTTAATGAAATAGAATACATAGAAAATAGAGTGTTACATTACTTATTACATACAGTTATGCATGCAATAAGAACACGTATTGTTTTGTGAAACTTTTATTTCAGTTTTAGCACATGGACACACATACATGTGTCGTATATACTGGGTCATGAGGTAGGATGTGTTTCTTATTGTGGGTCATGGTCAAAAACCTTTGATAAATACTGGTCTTTAGGCTCTGTGTAACTCATGTCTCCTTCCTGCTTTAAACTGCTAGTGAAAGATCCAAGCTAGTTTCAGAATCAATTCTCTATGCAATTGGATCATCTACCCACAAAACACCTACCCAAATTCCTGTCTGAGGGAAGGGAAGCTGCGAATCAACAGACTCGTGTGGTTCTTTGGGACCAAGCTGAAGCAAAGGGAGGGATTGATGCAAATTTGAATCCAAAAGATTTGTCTGAAATCAGATTAGCTTGAAGAAATTAAGATTGAGCAGCCTTTTAGCTCAACTGCACTTGATTTTATGACCATTCCCATCTGTGTGGGTAATGTGGCCTCAGGCTTCTGTCTCTCTTTTCTGCAGTAGGCAGTTGGTGCAGCAGGAATGTTCCTGAGCAGGCCTCCCTCTAGGATAGCCAGAGGCACAGTGTCAGGGTAGTGGGTGGTGCCCTGAACTGAGTGTCCCCCCCATTTCCCCGGGTTATTTTGTACTTTCCTGCCAGTGCCCTGTGCTCAGCCCTTTCAGAAAGGTGGCTGGGTAAGTATAGAAGAAGGCGTACATTAAGGTACACTATCAAGAATGTGTTGCCCTTAAAAAAAAAAGACTGTATTGAAGGTCTATTTCTATATCAGGAAGGACGTTGGTATTAAGGAGAATATAACTACCATGCCTTCCAGTGCTTTGACAAAACCTCAGGTATGTGGTCTTCTGGCCGAGTGTCAGTGATTTCATATTGTTGTCAGAGTGATCAATGTATATGTTTGCTGTGGCTGAACCATGAAAGAAGACATTTGTAGATTTCTACAGAAATTATGATTCCATGAAAGATTTTGAGGAGATGAACAAAGCTACTATCTTGCAGAGTGCAAAGTGATTTTCAAATGTAAAGAATTTCTTTGGTTTGAATTCTATGGAAGTTTGTCACTGAACTGTGTTCTGAACTATGAAACATGAATATTGGGCATGGAATAGTTTTTCATATATAATTATACCTGATATAATTTTATATATACATATATATATGTGATTTTTTTTTATTGATTTCAGAGAGGAAGGTAGAGGGAGATAGAAAGATCAATGGCAAGAGAAAAATTATCAGTTGGCTGCCTCCTGCATGCTCCTTACTGAGGATTGAGCCTGCAATCTGGACATGTGCCCTGACCAGGAATCAAACCATGACCTCCTGGTTCATAGGTCGATGCTTGACCACTGAGCTATACCAGCCAGGCAGGAATAGTTTTTCTTGATAAACAAACAATTAACAAATTTTTAAAAATGTGTTGAGTAGGCTAAAGTTAGTATACTAGGTTTGGTGCCTCAGACTGGCCCAAGGACAATTGGCAAGTGTGGTGCCTCTCTGTGAGGAGACTGAGAATCCATCCACATCTCCAAGAAGCACAGAAGACTCTTGGGGAAGCACAGAAGACTCTTGGGGACCCTTCTGGGAAATAAGTTTTAACTATTATGTCCCAAGATGTGGTTTTTGGCAGTCATTTCTTTGGTCTTTCGAGATAAGAATTTAAACAGGCCCTCTAAGAGTAGTTTGATTTCTCCAGCTGAGACAGTAAGAGAGGAGTGACAGTAAGAGAGGAGTGACTCTAAAACTACCCTAATTGGTTCTGGGCTTCCCCTCTCTAGAAACTGGCCTGGACTAGGAGTAGATCACTCTGCCATAGATATGAACACCCATCAAGTGGTTCTGGTTCAGATTGCCCTCCGAGGGCCTCGGAGACTCTCTTAGCAGAGTTCAGTCTAGCTTGTTTACTTGACCATTCAAATCAGAAACCCATTCCTCTGAGCCAACGCCAGTGCAGGGAGTCCAGACAACACTAGAGGAGACTGGACTGGAGTGGCAAGCAAGACATTCTGTAGCAAGGGGTAAGGTTCAGTGACAAGCAAGAGGCTTACAGGGCGATCTGAATTTCACATGGCATCATCTGGCAGAAAGATCAGTAAACTGTTTGAGGTTAGTTCAGTGTGTGCTCTGGGGGCTGCAGACATGTGGGGTGACAATAGTAGTGATGAGAGTGATGGTGCATATCTTGTGTGAGCACTTGACACATGTTTCCCTTTCATCTCCGTGGGAGTTGTGGCTTAATGATAATAATTAGAGTACTCCCAGCATCTGTGCTTTGCAAACACAGCATTAAGCCATGTTTCTGCCTCCTGGGCTCATAGTCTGTACGAACTGGCAGACATTTGGTTGGGGGTGGAGTCTTCTGATGAAGGGGAGAACGTGATGGAATGCAAAGATCAGGGATATTATTAGTCCCCTAATTGATACCTAACATTTTTCTGGCCCTTGGTAGATCAGAGTGGCCTTTCTTTCATGCCTGCCAAGTCATGAAGATCAGTGACCTCTCCTGAGTATCATCCACCCAAGAGCCAGTCTGGGGAACTAAGGCTTTATCTTGTAAACGGAGCCTTGATGGATTGGGGGAGTGCTTTTTCCGCTGTGGTGTGAGCAGAGCTTTAACCCCTTCATTTTCATTCCCGTGGTATCAGCAGATTGAGCCCCGTTAAAAGGCAGTGGTGCACACTGGCTTTTCCCCATGTGATCAGGCGGCCTGGGAACCTGGAAGAGTCAGTAGCCCATTCTCCTGAAGACAGGGGCATTAGGAAAGTAGTACTACAGGATGGTCCCGAGTACCTTTAATACTTCCTTTCCAACCCCACTCTGTCCATAACACGTCACTTCTCTGTCTTGCTCTAACAGGTGACCTTGGAGAAGGTGCTTGGAATCACAGTGTCCGGAGGCAGAGGACTTGCCTGTGACCCCCGGTCTGGTTTAGTTGCCTATCCAGCTGGGTAAGTACCTTGGAAGAGGGCTTATTGCATGGGGAGTTCATAGCCATGCTAAACTAGTTGGGATGGACAGGGGTTTTCTGGTGTCTTCTGGGAGATACATCCAGGTGAATGTTCTGGTGCCATTTTTGTAAAGGAGTTACAGCGCCAGGTAAAGGCTCTAGCTTTTTGGCTATCCATTCCCACCCACACATATAGATTGAAATTTTATATTATACACAGCTCCAAATACCATCTTTAATATCTACCTTGTAGTAATTTTTAAAAACAGCTTTATGGAGATATAATATATATACCACACAATTCACCTATTTAAAATGCACAACTCAGCCTGGCTGGTGTGGCTCAAATGGTTAAGCATCGTCCCATTCACCAAGAGGTCGCTGATTCTATTCCTGGTTGCAGACTCAATCTCCAGTAGGAGGCGTACAGGAAGCAGCCAATCGATGTTTCTATCTCTTTCTCTCTCACTCTCTAAACAAAAATCAATAAAAGCAATTTTTAGAAATTAAAATACACAATTCATTGGCTTTTAGTATAACCTCAGAGTTATGCAGCCATCATCACAATCAATTCTAGAACACACTCATCACCCTAAAAAGAAACCCCATACTCTTTAGCAGTCACTCTCCATTTCCCCCTAAGATCTCCAGCCTTCAGCAACAACTAATCTATGTTCTATCTATATAGATTTGCCTATTCTGGATATTTCATATAAATGGAATCATACCATACTTGGCCTTATGTGACTTTTTTCATGGTTCATACATGTTGTAACAGGCATCAGAACTTCATTCCTTTCTATGGCCAAATAACCTTCCATTAAAGATAAAGTACCACATTTTATCTCTTCATCAATTGATGAGCATTTAACCATTGTTTCCACTTTTTGGCTATTATGAAAAATGCTGCTCTGAACATTTGTCTACTCTAGTCACTTTGAGAGATGTCAGTGCTGTTAAAGTAAGAAACATTCAAGCCTGTAAAGAATTTTTGTGAGTTTATTTGAGCCAAACTGTTGACAATTGCCAGGAAGCAGAATCTCAACGTATTGAGATAATGCTCCAGAGAATGGTAGTTTTTCACCTATTTTTAGACATTATAATCAAAGGAGGAGATGTAAGTGGGTTACATGAAATCCGTTGGTGATAGATTAGGAGGCAGAGAAAGCAAAGCTGGGAAACATCTGGGATTGGATAAAAAGAAAAATGATAGACACATGCTTCTTTTACATAGGTGGGCACAGGATAGTTAACATTCAACAATTAACATGAAAACAGTAACATTGAGGGAATCTGTGGTCTGGGCCCTGGTACCATTTGTTGTGTCCTGAGGGGTCTGGAAAAAGGAAAGTTACAAGTTACCCTGACATTCCATAGGTATGTTATCTTAGATGCAAAAAGACAGTAGTCTCAGTAAAGATCAAAAATTGATCTTTATCAGGGAAGATACTGGCCTTGGACATGACTACCCACTATAACTTGCTTTTTAATAAAAGGTTTTAATTTCAAATAATCCTTTGTGGTTACTTTAGGTCTATGAGTTTGCAAGACTGCCACGCAAGCCTCCTCTGAGTTAGTCATGTGAGCCTGTGGCCCCTTTTTTGTCTACAGTGCCATGGAAGAAAAGTAGGGTTCTGGGCTGTTCTTTCCCTTGCTGCCTTTTCACTCCTCTGCTGCCACAGGCGAGAAGCCCTCAACCATCATTTCTTTAGGCTTTTGCAAAAGTGTTTCTTTTGGAGGCTTGGGGCCCCTCCTGCTTCTGGTTCTGTCAGCCTCTTTTCTTTGCTCCTGGGCACAGGAACAGAAAATGGGAAGTCCACTGCTCTCGAGACCTCTCTTGCCCCACCCTCAGATTGGGAATGCCAAGTTCTCTAGTGTGAGTTACATAGTGTGAGTTGCACAGTGTAGGTTTTGTACCAGATATGATTTTCATAGTTTTATTATTCCGTCAAAAAAGCTACCTTATCAAGAACTTATCCTGTGCCAGGCACTTTGTTAAGCGTTCTACAGGAGTTATTTTATTTATTGCTCAGAGCAGCCCTGTGAGGTTGGTACTATTATCGTCCTATATTTTAGAAACTAAGCTTCAAAGAGCTCAAGCAGTTCGCCAAGGCCACACAGCTAGTGTCTGTGTTGGGATTCCAACTCAAGTAGTCTTGACTGCAGAGCTCTTACTTTTTTTAAATCCTCACTCGAGGACATGCTTATTAATGAGAGAGACAGAGAGACAGAGAGACAGAGACATCAATGTATCAATGTGAGAGAGAAACATCAATTGGTTGCCTCCGATATGTGCCCTGACTGGGGATGGAGCCTGCAACCTTTTGGTGTACGGGACTACGCTTCAAACAGCTGAGCGACACTGGCCGGTGCAGCTCTTTTAAAATGGGGGAAGACCACATTTTCTGCTCATTTTTTAAAGCTGCCTACTTACCATTTGAATGAGAAATGCCCATTTTATGGTCATCTCCGTCTATGCCAGGGAGACTTCTGCCCCTGGGTTCTGGGTCAGTGTCTCTCCTGAGTGACCCTCTGACATTTGCTATCTGGTGGGGATGCTGTGGGAGCTGCACTGGCTTTATACCCTACAGAGGCTGAACTGGCTTCCTTCTCGCCCTCAAGAAGCAAGTTGATAAATGACTTCTGTTGCTGGACACCCTGTGCAGCCTGCCTCAGGGGAATTCCGCTCGTGCCTGCCTCTGCCTGGGAAAGCTAGGTTCCTTCTTGTTGGAGGTGGGGCGGGCTGGCTAGGAAAGGCCTGGGCTTCTGCTCAGTGCATGCTGAGCCCTGTGCTCTGCCCTTGGAATTGTGGAGCCCTGGAGCCCTGCTCCCCCATACACCCCAGGCCTGGTGCCTTTAAGGGTGTGTGCTTCTGTTTAAGGGCAGGCCCCAGCCTGGCTCATGTGCCTGCCCGTCATTATCCTTCCGGGTGCTGCATGGAAGATCCCTGCTGTGACCCTGGTAGATTTCCTCAGTGTGCTTGTCTTGGGCCAGCCTTGAGCAGTGCCCCAATCTATTCCCTGACTTTTTTATTTCCTAGAACTTTAAGTACTCTCTTTGCAAGTGGCCCCTTTCTGGTTGGTTAGTTTTGCTCTATGCTGGAGCTCCCTGATGTGCCTCTGGGGCATCTGGGGGCCACCAAGCAGCTTCTTTTCCTCCATCCCTCCTCTCTTCTCTTCCTATCTGGTGATCCTAACACCCCCACCCCACCCCCACTCTCTTCTTCTGACTGAGCTTGTTCTAGGAACAGCTCAGGTATCCTAGAAACAAGAAGAGAAACATATACACACACACACACACAGAAGAGAAACCAAGCTCAGAAATTTCTCCCAGAGGCCTAGAGGCAAATATCAAACCAAAACAAGTTTTCTGGAAGGAAATGAAACAGCTCAGGGAGGGTGGAGTAGAGGAGGATGTGTGTCAGGCAGAGGTGGCGGCTCCAGCATCTCTTCTCCAGAGTTCTCCTTTTCCTGTTGTCTTCCTCACAGGAAGGCTACCCCTCACCTGTCACACTTTAAGCCCCCTGCCCTAGGAAAGCAGGCTGGTCCCCAGATAGCCCCTTTGAATAACTAGTTTAGTTGAACACCCATAATTGACTTGGGCCCCTTCCTTAGTTGGCTTGGTAGAAGGTTCAGGGCCTTTAGAGCCTAGTATAGCCCCTATTGCTACTGTGGAGCCAGGCAGTTTGAAACCGGACACAAACGGGTCCAGGCCGCCTGTCACTACTTGAGCCAAATTAAACTAAGACAAAGTTGAACCATATATGAGCCTTTATTCCAATAATGCCGGCAGTATGGAGAGAGCAGCAGGTCATCCTGTAAATTCTGCTATAACCTCCCCTACTAGCCGACTGATTAGATATGGTTAAGGAAGAAAGGCTACATGCAAGGGAGGCAGGATAAGGGCTGCAAGATCTGTGGTCCCTGTGTCTCCTTCCAGGATTCTGAAGTCAGATAACAGGGTAGTTAATTCTCTAAAAAACAGCTCCTCCCCTTCCTGAAACTGGAGAATGGTCAGCATTCCTGGGGCCAACACCCTGAGGGGGTCAGGGTCCAGGCACAGCAGCCAAATCAAAAACTATCCCATCCTTGGTTTGTTCTCAAAATATATTTTCTTTTTTGAGTAATAGATCTATCCGGGCTTCGAGGTATCTCATCTTTTCACAGCCCTGTTTTTCCCCTTGCAATACATCCTTCAGTTTCCCAGGGTCTGTAAGAAAACCTCTTATCTATAGTTTGTAAGTTTGTAAATAATCATTAAACAACTGTGGCCCTATGCTTGTGGAGTGCCCTTCCCCCTGTCAAGTTCTGAGAAAGGGTTTCTCTTGTCCCCCAGTGCCAGGGCCTGGCCTGGGTGAATGCTATGAGCCGAGGAGCTACTGGAGTGCGAAGTGTCCTGGAAAGGTGACTGGCCCTATCCTAGCTAGGAGGAGAGGAAACTCAGCTCTCCTGAGAAGGCCCTTCAGTTACTTAGTCCGTGTTGGAATTTATGCTGAGATCCCCAGCTTCAAAGCACTGGACCAGGTGTGAAGCTACAGAATTTCCTTCTGAACTGTGTTCTAGTGACATCTGAACTGAAGGAGCATAGAACTACCTTCTTATTCTCTGTGGCAAGCCCTTTGTAGGGGCCATGGAGAGACTGGGTAAACCTGAGAGAAAAGGATGCCTGACTTGGTGCCCTGAGGGATGGGAATCATGTGAATATTGGGGGTTTAGGTTCAAGAAGGGCAAGCAAACAATAAGCATATCTATGCTAATAAAAGGGTAATATGCTAATTAGACCGGGTTGACCGGCCATCTTTCGGATGTCCGACTTCCTTCCAGACAAAGCCATAGTGGTGGGGCCAAGGCAGAGGCAGTTAGGGGTGAGATCAGGCTGGCAGGGTGTTAGGGGGCGATCAGGCTGGCAGGGGAGGGCAGTTGGGGACATTAGGAGGCAGGCAGCTGAATGGTTAGTAGCCAGTGGTCCTGGATTGCAAGAGGGTTGACTCACTGCCAGACA